CCCGCTTCCTTATTGAATTTAAATTGTTGTTTTTGTCTGTCTGTATGTGTGTGTTGTTCGTAGAATAACAACAAAGCGGAGAACGAAGAGTTGACAGCCGGTCCTTAGGGATTCCTGCCTATATCCTCTTGGCCGGAATCCACCCTCAGTCTCCTCCCTGTGTGTTTGTGTTGTCTGCTCTCTTTTCGTCCTGTCTGTTGCTCTGTCTATTTTGACTTTAACAACGTCAGCAACACCCCCCAGAAAAGTGCACACAAGCAAACAGAGTATCCCCTGTCTACATGGGCCAGAATCATCATTAACGCTGTCCGAGGGTTGTCTGAAAAGTCCTTAGAGAAGGGGAATTGATGGCCCGAGGGTGCTGGACAGAGGCTGGAACTGAAGTCTGGATCGGAAACTATGTTTGAAAAAGTTTTTAGCCCATGTAGAAGCACCTTGGAATGGGTAAAGTAATTTTCTTTAAGACAAATATTGTTCCAGGAAATAGTACTATACGTTAAATTTATTTCCTTTATTTTTTTAAGACTTTAAACCACTGTTCTTTTCCTCTATAACTTGGCCTGTGTTCCTTCTGGAGTTGCAATAATTTGCAGCTTCCACCATCATCATCAACACGCCCCCAAAAAAAATTTAAACATGAAGCGAGGACCAGCTGGTACCTCCTGGCTCCATTCTGCATTCTACATTCTATATCCTACCTCATACCTTTCCCTTCTCTCTTACCCTTTGGCCTTTCATAACTCGCGATGGGCATAAAATTTATCTATAATAAATTAAAAACTCCTTAAATGTTGGCAAAACTTGGTTTATGGTTCTGGTTCTTCTCGGCCAACAAAACCCTTACCCTTCTAAGCCCTTGTCCCGCCTCTTTTTCGTTGTGATTTATTTGTGGCCGCCAGCTAAAAAAAAAATTATATAAAAAAAATGTTCTATATTGTTTCATTCTTGTAGTTGCCACTTTTGGGTGGACACTGAGAAATAAATGCTACTTGTATTTAAATATAGAATTTTTGTAGTCAGAAAATATAATAAGGATGTGTTTTATAATCAAAATTTAAAAGATATATTATTCAAATATTTAAGGAAAATGAATTAATTTCATTAATTTAAATTAACAATTAAATATAGCATCTTTAAATGCTAGTTTCTTAAATTTTTAAATTTTTTTTTAACAATATTTAAAGCCAAATTGAAGAATGTATGATATTTTCTAGATATTTATCATTGAAAATTGCATACAATATATTTTTATAATTTTTTTTCTCTCTGCATAAGGCGAGATATGGAATCCAAGGAGGAGTTAGGCAAACCTAGTGACTGTTGCAGGACAGTTTAGTGCCTGTCCGGCTCTCGTTATTGCGGCCTCAGCTTTTAGCCGCTTGTGCTGATGGTCGGATGCTCACGCGGCCGGCATGAAAACTTATGTTACTTATTAACAATTATTTATACATGCCTCATAAAAATCCCAAGACAATGGGACCCCAGACAGGGAGTCAGACCAAAAACAACAACAACAAAGTGTATAGTATACATATATATATAAAAAAGGGACAGCAGAAGCCAGCTAACAATGCAAGTCTCCCGACTCCTTTTGTGTTTTGTGGTCAATGTTGCAACTAGTCTTGGGGCCTTTTATTCTTTGCTGGCAAGAGCGGGGCCCACAATTACCCATAGAAGAGGCAGTCTGTTTGATTTTGGTTTTGGTAATAAAGATAGATCGATGGATCATCGGCTGGAGTATAACCACAGGAAGCGAGATAGCTGATCGAGTCAAGATATAAAAATCCCAAGTGGAATGAGCCTGATAAATGTTACAATGATATGAAGAGATTGTGAGATTGCAGAAAACAATTTAATTATAAGTAGAAAAGTAATTTAGGAATAAATATTTTAAGGGAGTTTAATATTTAATATATATTTAAAGAAATTTAAATACGAAAAGGTGTGTTTAAATTAGTAACATCACCCTATCAGTATTTTATTTAAATTTTTATATTTAATTGAAAACAATTAAAACAAGTTCCATATTTTATTTAAAATTTAATATAATATAAAATTATTATTATATTCCCCAAAAAGTTTGCAAAAACCGCCCAAAGACTCTACAAAAATGGCCAACAGAATGGTTTAATCTAATTCCAGTTGCCATCTCTCTGGAGCCTTTAAGCCCTCCCCAAAAAATAACCCTCATTTTCGGCTGCTGGCCAATTCGAAATCCCTCAACATTAGTTCATTAAAATTTAAATTTTCAGCGCTGACTTGGCTTAAAGCTGGCTTAAAAGCTTGTGGAATAATTTCAGATAAATGTGGCTGGAAACAAAAAAATGAAACTGCAGGCAATTTAGTGGCGACTCCACGGCGCTTCGGCTTTCCCCCTGAAAAGTGCTACTTTATGTTATTGTTGTGGATCTGTTTCCTTATGCGTAAATATTACCCAAGTCAACAGTTCCTGGGCGTGCCATCTCCTTCTGTCCGCACTTGCTTAGCGCCAACAACATTGATTCCCCCGTATATCCTGGCCGTTTCTGTACTCCCAGAAAAACGCAATTTGCGCCGCTAACCTAACGATGATTGCCAAAAAGCGTCCAAAAACCCAAAGGGGATGCTGTATTCGGGGGGAGGATTTTAAATTTTTAATGGGAATTTGAAATAAAGCCCAGACAGAGACAAGTTGGTGGGACAGGGACCAAAGCCAGGGACCAGGGACCAGGGAAACAGACAACACTTTCGGGGCGAGTTTAGTCTTTGACAGAGAAACTGACGACTGCTATGGGGTTTTGGCCTCCGGATCTCTGTGTTTCTGTCTGCTCTGATGCGTTTGCACTGGGAAAAATAAAGGGTAAACGATAGAAATTATAGAATATACAGAATATTCGAAATTCATAATATTGTTTCTATTTAAATTAAATTATTTACTAACAAAATTAAAGGAAAATAAGAAAGTTAGGCTATTTTTGTGGCTTAATTTTAACTTTTTAAAACATTTTTAAAAGTGTTTTAGCTTCTTTTTTCTGGAAAGTGGGACCATCCTGTAGTTCTCTTATCCCCAAGCTGGGCTTTGAGCTTTGAGGGCTCTCTGTGTGTGTTGCCCTGCAACAATATTTTGTGCAACTCCTTCACTCCCTTCCATTATTATTTTTTTGTCCGCCTTCGAGGGTTTGTTTGAGTGCGTGCGTGTTGTGCTATCTAAAATTCAAATCTCTTGCGGTTTACAATGCGCCAGAACTCTGAAACTCTGAACTCCTCACAGTCCATCCCTTTTTCACACATTTTGGGTATAGGAAACTGAGGAATTGCCTTGGTCGCTGGGATGTTTTATACAGTAGAGATTCGCTAAAATAAATTTATATTTTTCTTAAAATTTGTTGATAAAATTAAAGGAGAAAAGTACGAATTTTAACTTAATTGTTTTAAAGAGTTCTTAAACTTTGTAAATATTTATATTGATAATTTAAAGGAGTTTGAACACTATTTTCAGCATATTTATATATTTCTTTATAATACAATTTTAAGAGATTATTAATATAATAGTTACTAATGCAAATATTCTTACTACAAATATATTATACTATATACAAATTAATTATTATATAAAAAGAAACATATCTACTACTATTTTATAGGTTGCCTTGACTTATTTGAAATTTGACAGCAAATAGGAGTAGATAATAAAACCAAAAAAGCTGTTTTATTCGTTTAATAAATCCAATAAAATGTCCTCATGAAAACGCTTTAAACCGAAATTAAAGAATACAATGAACAATAGATTCAATGAATATTTAAAATTAGTTCCATATAAGATTTAATTCTCAGAATTGTTTTTTCATCACAGAAATGTTGAAAATTTTGGGAGTTTCAACTTTGGCGTCGAATTCCAAAGACATGGGCAATGGTCCACGATTGGGACTATTTTTTAGTAGTGCCGTGATGTATTGAGAGTAGGTCCTACCGAAAATAATAAAGGTATGTCCAATTATATAGGCCACGTAATTCAAAATGTCGGCAAACATCGGTTTTTTGTATTCTTAGGTATACCGCGGAACCTGTAGGTGATGGGAAATAATTTTGTATGGGACTTTTACTCAGGAGCACCCAAATATCATGGAAAACTTGAAATGGTTCGTGGAAATTTTTGGCTGTGTACCTGTGTTATTTGTATTTAAACATTATAAAAATCTATTTAATTTAAAGTAAAACGTACTCTATAAAAAACAGATTTATGATGATTTTACATTTATTATTATAAAGAATCCAACTTAAGGAGGTCCCCCTATACACTCCTGCATCGTTGCCACATTTCGTAATGCAATTGTTTCTGCGGGGGTTGATTTTCGCCTCTGCTTTTTGGAGTTCAAGGTTGAGTTTGGGCTTTTTGCCCTTTGGCAAGAGTTTGGCATCTTTGTACCGGGAAAATCTCATTAAACTGCAGTTATTGTTCAAGTGCGGAGTTTCGGATTCTGGATTTTGCATTGTCGTCAGTCCGATGGGATTATTGGAGAATTTTGGGGGTTGCACAATGTACTTATCCTGGGTCCTTGGTCGATGTCCTTTCAGTTTGCAGCCTAGGGGCAGGTTGACAATTGAGTTAGCAAATTTTATGCTAATAAGAAGATGTCTTCTTTGACTTTAGAACGCATTTGTAGAGAATTTTCGTCTCTCAGTTTGGCTATAATTAAATTTTATTGAGCTTAATAAACTATAAACTTTCTAGAGTAAGAAATTCCTTCACTAAATATTCTTGTATATATTAAAGTAACCTTGTTTAACATTTATCGATTTCCCACACTGCCTTAAGCTTATAATTCATATCTTCTCCCATTAATTTGTGTGCGTTCTCTGTAAGCCGCCTCGCTTAATCGCCTTTAATTACAACTCTCAATGCAATTTGGGCCACATTAAATTTAAGCCTTATTAATTAATCGTTGTTAAAGGCTTCTTCGCTCTGTTACTTCCTCTTTCAATTTAATCATTTGCCTTTTGTATCTCTTGTTACTCTGCAGGATCTCCATGACTGCGGTGCCCCTTGCCATGCCATGTTCTTCCCGGAGAGAGAAAGGACCGTCCTGCGTTACTGGGTGGGATCCTGGGCGGCTGTCTGTGTTGCTAGCTGCCTATTTACGGTAAGTTGAAAATATTAAATATATTAAAATACAAAAATTAAATCAAAATAAATTTATTGGGAATGTAATTTTGATTCTAGTCAAATTTTTATTAAATTAAATATAAAAGAACCCCATTTAATATAAAGAAAACATCACAGAAAACTGTGCTATCTTTGATTTCCAGGCATCTTTTATATTGCACACTCGCTCCCTTACACTCCACCTTTTCCTATATCCTTGGCTGGCTGAGTGCTGCCATATTTTCCTTGACGCTGAAAGTAAACATCTTTCACGGGGTGAATCCTGCTCCTTCAGCAAGTCTATTATTCTGGGGTAAAGAGAGGAGCCATATATAGTGTAGGGACAGGATGCCAGGACGAAGACGTTGGCACTTTAGCAAATCCCACGCATTGACATATTACCTGTCAGCGCATATTTTTCAATAAACTTGGCAAAACATATGCAGAAGCCATCGCATCAAGGCCAAGACGCCCTCAAAAAAAAAACCCCCAAGGCGGTCTTGGCAAGCAGGATACCTTGGCAGACAGAGTGAAGGATATAGGGAGGATATAGGGAGATGTAGGGATAAGGAAAGCAGCTCTCCTCCTGGCATGTGGCATGTGTGAATGTGGCGGTGGGAGGACAAATGGCAGAACAAAAGTAAATTTCAAATATTATTAGAATTGCCCTTTGATATTTCGGAATGTCCTGGGCATGCCAGGTCCTCCCAGGCTTCCTTTGATTCGACCATATTCGAATGCCTTCAGGATGGATGAGCTCTGAACTAATATTGGAAATAGTTCTTGCATTGTAATCCTTCAGTGTGTCTTGTGTGGAAGAAATCAAATTGAAAATGTGGCTGCCGAGGAGATGAAGCTTGGTATAGGAAATCCTTAAAGAGTTTAGATTTTCACACAAAGATGGGGGGATAGAAAGAGGTTTTGGGGGAAAAAAATATGACAAAAAATGTTGAGAAAAGGATACAAGGTTGTTATGTTTATGTACAGATATTTGCTGTAAAGGTGAGAGTAAATAAAGGAAAATAAAAGCAAAGAGGCTGAGATTGAGGGTATTTTTTAAAGAAAAAAAAAAACAAAGGTTCTTTAAGCAAGGAAGGAGCAATAAATAATTATAAAAAGTAATATTGTAGTTGTTATTTTTTTTCCCCATTTGAATCTAATTTCATTTCCTTTACTCTTCCATAAATATCCCGCTAAACACAATTTACTTCTGCTCCTTTTAACCCATTTCCCATAACCATAAATCAATCAATCTAATTATCTCATCTTCCTGGGAACTATTCATCATCCAAAAGGTCCTGTAAGTGAAGTCTCACTCTCTTTTAGCCTCCATCGAAAGAGCGAATATGGAAATCAACTTGTTAGTCGGGAATTTTCTCCTCCAACGAGGAAAATGTGTTGTCTATTTTTTGTATCCATCAAGTGAAAAAAAGAGAACAAATTTGAATAAAAAATCAATTTAGCTGTTGTGAACCCTGAGAGAGCAGGCTCTAATCAACAGGAGAAACAAAAAGCGAATATGATAACCAAGCTTATAATTCCCAAGCAATCAGGCGGGGAGTAAAGATAAGTGGGGCAGACAAGGGATAGGAGACCCGAAAAAGCACATCTATCAAAATTTTGGAGAGGTCCTGACTGACACACACACACACACACACGCCATAAACTTGTGCTACATTCATCAGAACGGGGATTTTTTTTTAGCAAAGGAAAAGGGGGCTTCACCCCCCCTGGGGAACATTGTCACTCACATGGCGACATGTTTTGCATTCTGTCTCTGATCCTTTTTTGCTTCTCCCCCTCTGCCCCTGTGTGATGATAAATTTTTGTGCCATTGCATATAATTTGTCGCCCATTGTCAGCGCCAGATCCTGGACGGCATATCAGTGCAACTCATAACAGCAAAGCAACAAAACAAACAACAAATTCTATGCAAATTTTGGGAAATTGTTTTTCCAGGGACTTTCATTTGCAAGCTCATTCTACTTACTTTTTACGATTATTATTATGTTCTCTGAGTGTGTGTAGTCCTTCAAGCCATGCTCATTTTCATTCGCTGGGATTTTTGCATTTTCCATGCATTCATCAGTAGTTTTTCATCAGTTGAGGATGATGATGATAAGAGATATTTCTTTATATTTTATTTCAAGACTTTTCTTTCATTTGTTGATTGACTTAAAGTGCTTGAAAATCAATAAATTGAATACATTTTTGGATAGATTTTATTTTAATGACTGCAGCCTTTGTAAGTTTCTATTTTCAAGACATTAACTTGTCATATTTCATCTCAACTTCAAAGTGTTTCCCTTCTGCAGTTTCTCTTTAAAAAGTTAACCCCAATAAGCCTCTATAAACACGGAAAATGCTCTCCTCTCCACACATTAAATATTTGAATGGCTTTTATTTTGCTTCCTCTTCCGCTTGCCATTTTCCTAGGACGTGGATAGTGCCCGATACATCTCAATAAATTCGCTATGAAATGTGGGTTATGTTTGTTTATATGTTGATTTTAATAAACTTTCCACATGTGTGTGTGAGTTTGGGGGATAAATAATATGCCCTGACATGGAAATATGTCAATGAAAAAGGCTGCCATTAGAAAATTGCACTTGATGCTGGGGAAATAAAAACATTTAAAAATATTTTCCGTTTGGCTTTGTGCTTGAAATGCTTCACATTCATATGGATTTAGCTGTGACATTTAAGGGAATTTCCATATTCAATAAATAAAGTACTCGGCTAATTGATTGGAATGATGAAAATGTGTTGCAGGCAAACAAACATTGAAATTGTTATGAAAATATTGCCAAACATTTTAAGTAAATGAATATCACAAGTGGCTTGAGCTAAAACTTTAAATGAATAAATGATAAAGTGAATAAGAAATGGGAAAATCTTTAAATTTTCCTGCACAAGAAGAAATTATTTTGAGAGCAGAAGCAAAAGTAATCCCAAAACGAAACTTTTTGTGCCCCCCAAAACAATTTTCTATGACAGACGTTGCGCAACTTTTACTAACCTGGGAAAAACCTTTGGGGGCTTTTCATTTCAAGTATCAAGCGAAATTATAAACAAACACATTTTATTTCAATTTTCGCGAACTAAAACAAATATTTTTGCACAGAAGAAGAAAGTTTTCCCTCCGAGCTGCAAAATGTGCGACAGTTAAAATTGTCTAGGGAATTTTCCCCAGAGCAGTAGGAAAAACTTATGTGGAGGAATGGAAAATGCGGTGTGTGTGTGTCACAACAACTGTCAACAATCAACACCTTTTTCATTAAACGCATTAGATGGATGAGACAATGAGTGAGCGCTCTTCCTATCTCCCCCCAACCGACTGACTATATCCTCCCCCCCCATATCTTGTCTGACTTGACATTTGTTTTCCAATGAAAAGCGAAAAGAGGAAATGACAATGTGTGTTTGCTGAAAGAGCAAATAATCGCATAGGATGTTTCGGGTGTGTCGTCGTTGACTCTGATGACTTTTTCTTAATTACAAAACCTGGCAGAAGGGCGGGGAAATGGAGGGAAAATCGAGAGGGGGGCCTGGCAGAAACCGAAAGTTCACTGAGGCGCATTTTTCCGATATTAGAGACTGGAGAGAATGTGAGCAAATATGTCAGCTCATGGTGACTGCAACGAGTAACTATATTTTTTCCCTTTTTCCACTACCCACTTTTTTCTAGTTTCTTGTTTTGACAGTTTCCATTTGCCACAAAAGTTATTAATAGTTTTTAAATATGCACCAAATATTTAATCATTGATATGCATAAAAAATGTATGCTATATAAAGCATCAAAATGTCAAAAACAGCAAATACAAAGCCTGGCCGCAAAATTTATGCCGCAATCTCTGTCCAACCTGACTGAAAATGTTTATGTTAATAGTTAGTTATTCTAATAGACGATCCACCCTCCAAAAACAGCAACGGCAGAAAACACCAACCTTATGCAAATTTATACAATTTTTGTGCAAGTTTTTTTTCTGTTTTCTTTTTTTCTGTTAGTTGTGAGTTAAATCTAATTTATGCAAAATTCAAAAACTGCCAACCGCTGGCAAAGCTCTCAAAGCTTTTCTGTGGCTTTTAGTTTTCAACACTCCCGCGAAGACAGGGCAGTTAGAGGTGGGTGTAACCACTTTAGTTTGTTGTTTTTCTTCTTTTTGGGCTGATTTTAATGAGCCAACCAAGTCGACTCTACAAAATTTATGAGCGCTAAAAATTGAAATTACTTTTTTTTCATTGACCATGAAAGGCGCGGCGGCGGCAAAGAGTTAAATAATTTATTTCGAGTTGGTTGACGGAAATGTTTTTAGGCAAAGAAGTTCACCGAAAGACTAAAGGGGAAAAGCGTTGGAAAAGTCACCTGGGGTTTTGTAAGTAAAAGTCGTATAAAACTTGAGTGAAGTGTTGATTAAAAAAAGGATTAACTTTCAACTTGGTTTCTCTATTTTAATTAAAGTTTTTGGGTTTATATATAACCTTAGATATATCTAAATTTTAGTTGTAAAATATTTTCTTTCTTAAATCTACAAATAAATCAATTGAAATCAAAAGAACAATGTCAAAATAAATGGTATTTCAATGAGATTTCCTGCCATAAAAATCCCTAACAATTTACATAGATTTCCTTGGTATACCTACTGTTCAGATATATCTTCTCTATATATATATTTCCATCATGGAGTGTCACTCAAGCTGAAGCTCTTCTCTAAGGCGAATTTCCTCTAAATTTCGTGTGGGTGTGGCCCCTAAAGAAACGCTGAATGTTTTTCCCCACACACACACAAAAGTTGCGGAAAACTTCCGCCCTCGGTGACGCATAATTTGTGGGCGTGTCAGGGGTAGAAGAGATGCCGGAGTCTGTGCCAAATGTTTCAGCATTTTGCAGCTTATTTCGTTTCATTTGTAGCTAGTCACACCTACAGAAAATCCCCCTTGCCCTGGCCCCCATCATGCGTGGCATAACAAATTGCTGAAGGAGAAGGAAGTGAAGGAGTAGGGTCTTGGAGGGACGTTGTTGTTTCTGGCATAAATAAACAATTCAATTCAATTTCTCAGCTTGCTTCTTCTGCATCGTAGCGTTGTCAACAAAAGGAGTTACAAACTGACTCAGTGCCGCCGCTACTTCCTGCTCCTCCTCGTCCCTCGAATATATTTTGCATTTAAATGAGGCTGGAAGGAGAAAAGGGTGAACAGAAAAAAGAAGACAATGCGTAGGTGGAAATTAGTCGTAAGTCTGGCTAACACAACTATAATTCCAAGGAGAGTCGGGCCAAAAGAAAAACGTTTCCGAATGAATACATTTTTTACTTTGGCTAGTAATTTGAGAAGGAGAAGCAGTGAAAAAATTAGAGGGTAGAGTTTTGTCAGAGAAAAAATATCAAGAATTTGTTACTTGTGATTTTGGTTTAAAGTTTAAATTAATTTTTAATTATTTACTATTTCCTTGGATCAGGAAATATTATATATAAATGTAATCATGAGCAAGAGAAGTCGATTTATATTTGGAAACCAAAATATCTTCAGTGGCGACCGTGACATGGTACAGCTTTTCACATGTCCCAGCTTTATTTTTATTTTTTCTTTTATGTATTTAGGAATATTTTTAATAAAATAATTCAGAAAATATATAAGCAAAGTAAAGAATTTAGTATTTTAAAATAAAATGTTCAAGAACACGAATCTTGAAAAAACCGTAGAATAAAACTACATATACTTCTAATGATGGAGAATATTTTTATAATATTTTTTCATAATTTATATTCTTGTTAATAGTATATTTTATACAATTGTGCATAAGTAATCCCTATTTTCTCTCTCTGTACTATACATAAAACGTGAAAGATAGATGGATGTTAGCCCCGACTCTGGGCCGAGAAGTGCGTTCTGCATCTATGAATAATTCAAAGGTCTCTAGTCGTGGCAACAATAATACCTCCCGGCATTAATGCAATGCGAACAACTGAAACGCAAACACAGATACTCCACCAACACACACATGTGTGTGTTGTGTGGCTTGGCTAGGAGGAGCACCCACACACTGAGTGAACTTCCAGCTAACTGTTTCCCTGCTGATAGTTTTGTAATGATCAAATTAAATGACTTTGCTTGGGTCTGGTCGGGTTTTCTGGTTTGGGGGTTTTCTGGTTTAGACAAAAGGCTCCGGCTCCTTCGGCCCCGGCTTAGTGGGTATGATAATGAATTTATTTAAATGGCGCGTAATCAGACGGGCAACAGAGCAGTTTCGAGAGTGAATAGGATAGAATGGTTTAATGTGTTAGTTTGTGGGGCAGACAATGCCTGTATCTATGTATCTGTGTGTGTTTGGATTGTAATTGCTTTTAAAGCTTTTGAGGAATTGTCAGCCATTATGTTGTCAGTATCTCTTGGGTTTTCCCTCTATAATCCCTTATCCTTGGCCTCAGCTGGGAGCAGGGCCCACTTGATTGGTTTTTGGTTAGCCGAAACTGGCAATTATTGATTAAATGAGTTAATATATGCAGCGTCTCAATTAGGGCACTTAGCAAATTATTGACAATGATTGGAAGATAATAATGTATTGATTGTCAGTTAATTTATTCATATGTATACAAAGGTCTTTTGTTATTAGGAAATTTAATAAAATATAGAACTAACTGTGAAAGGAGAAAGGTTAAGCTAGAGACACTTAATTTTAGTAATTATATTCCTTGAAATTATTGTGATAGAAATTATAAGAGGCATCTTCTGTAAATCTTATACTTCTTGAAGCACTTGAAGCAAACCCCCTTACAAAAGCTGTTCCAGCTAAGGACATTTCAGCCATATTCATTAAGGCCAAACTGCCCAAGAAGACGCAAAAAAAACCTTGCAAATTAAATGAGGCTCGGCTTTTGGAGTAAATGGCACAACAATCACAATCAGCTAATGTGTAGAGCCTAATGACCCAGAGGGTTCTCTCTACTTCTCCATATATATAAACACTAATGCATTTTTAAGGGAACATCAAAGCACCTTGGGGTTAATTAAGGCGAACCTAATTAAATTGAAATTTATTTTTAATACCCACCACCCATTCCCCATTCTTGTGAATCGTTGCAGGTGCTCACCTTCCTGATCGACTCGTCGCGTTTTCGCTACCCGGAGAGGGCCATCGTCTTCCTGGCCGTCTGTTACCTGGTCGTGGGCTGTGCCTACGTGGCCGGCCTGGGAGCTGGCGACTCTGTGTCGTGCCGCGAACCATTTCCGCCGCCCGTAAAGCTGGGACGTCTGCAGATGATGTCCACCATCACCCAGGTGAGATGAACTGCAAAAAAGGGACCACTGCAGTGGCCAAGAAATCACTCATCAGATATTTTTAATGAGTGCCGAGAGGGTTGTTTTATTTTTGAAAGAAATATAAATGAAGTTTATTATGAAATTAAATAAATTAATAATTGTTTTAAAATTAAAATAAGTTAGTCTTAAAATAACCAAGTCTATAAAGTTAGTAAGTAACAGGGAATAATAGTTTTTATGGCTATCTAAACAGCTTTATTTATAAATTATTTGTTATATTTTTATAACTATAATTTGAATTTATTTATTAGTGTATTAAATACCTCACCTTACCCTAGGCTTCCTTCCATTAACTACAAATTTTTACTGACCAAAATTCCGTTCGTTTTTCTCCCCAAACAGGGCCACCGCCAGACCACGTCCTGCACGGTTTTATTCATGGCTCTCTACTTTTGCTGCATGGCGGCCTTCGCGTGGTGGTCGTGTCTGGCATTCGCCTGGTTTCTGGCCGCCGGCCTCAAATGGGGCCACGAGGCGATTGAGAACAAGTCGCACTTATTCCATTTGGTCGCCTGGGCGGTGCCAGCCCTCCAGACCATCTCTGTGCTGGCCCTGGCTAAAGTTGAAGGTAAGTTTCGATTGAATTTCAGGATAATATTATCGATTAAGCCACCAACTCGTGTGTGCGACCTTGAACCCTCAAAACATTAATCTCTCCCTGGATTCACATAAATTTCTATCACACACAAAACACACAAGAAAGAACATCTTAAGTAGGGCCTGCGGTTGGGAGCAATTTCATCGCGTAAGACGAAACCGTCATTAGACATCATTTGCGGCATTAACTGTATCTATTTCTCGTGGCCAACCAGAAAAAGGCACACAAAAAAACTAAGGAAAACCAACAAAAAATTAAAGATAAAGCAGGGAGAACAGTGGGTTGAGGGGATGAAATATTATAAGTTTTTTTATGAGAGTTAAGACAGAGTTGGGAGTTATTTTTGTTATTTTTTAGGGAAATAATTTCAAGAATTTAATGCAATTATAAATAAATAAAACATAAATCATATGCTGCTAATAAATTGACTGCTTAGTTATTTTCTACAATTTTTTATAAACCTTCAAGTTAACATTTTGAACAAAAATACATTTTATTTTGGTAAATCTCTTAAATCTTCTGTTTTAAAATATATTTTAGATAGTAAAATATTTAAAATTAAATATATTAAAAATACTTTTAAATACCTCTTTTTTTACCCTTTTCCCAACCTTAAACCCACCGTTCAAATGCGTGTGCCGCCCGTTTCACAGTCATTTTGTGGTTCATTTAAGATTTTCTTGGGTCTTGGGCTGGGTTCGTTTATTTGGGTCGGGATGCTGGGGATACTTTCGGAGTCATCCAAAGCTGCTGTCCGCGATTTCTAAACAATTTAATGACCTACGTGGTCGCGGCCAGACACGAAATAAATCTTGACGACCAAACCAAAAAAATGTAAAGCACTGAAAAGATAAAAAAACGAATTTAGACCCGAAAAACGGTCACGTTAAAGTGCCGTAAAAATTCGTGGACTCACCAGATGAGTTGAACCGAGTTCGGCTTACGTTCTGGAGTCTTTCCAAAGTCAAAGAACAAGACCCAATACTAATTCGCTTAACGCGGGCCGCCTCTAAGCCGAGAGTGCTGCCCATTCTTTGGGCTCATTTCACATTTTTGGGCTTAATTAGATTGCGGCTTAATGACTCAATTGTGTTTGCCATCCAGGCTCCTGTTTCAGTGTCTCTCTCTGCCCCTCATCCCCATCTATAGTATATATACTCATCGTATTCCCGGACAATTTCCAATATGACCAGACGCCAGTAATTAAATACAGCAGCACATGATTATGGCTTGTTAGGCAAATCGAATGAAAGTCATAGACGATTTGGTGGGGTTCGAGGAAGTGGCACAAATGGGTGGCAGCATCCCTCTTGATGGCCACTTATAGCCGAACATTAACTGGGTCTACTTAATGCCCCCCCTTTGCGTAATTGAAGGGAGTGAGCCAGCAGCGAGTGAGGAGAGTCAGCCAGCGAAGGAGGAGAGTCATTCACCGACGTTAGGTGCCGGCTTAACACTGGCTTAGTGCCTGGCATTGTGGTAAACGGTGCCGCGAATTAGCTGACTTCACCCAACATCCTGGCTGAAAGGTCCTGGCCAACAAATGGAGCATTGTTGATAAGTCAATCAATGCAAAGGTTTATAGATTTTATGATTTATGTTGGGAAGTAGCTTATAAATAGTTGGTGAAGTTAATTGTTAGATTTTTAGAAGATTTATTTAGAGGTCTCGCAGAGCCTTTAAAAATATTCATAAAAATCTGATTTATATATATTCTAACTCTATTTTTAATCTGTATAATTTAATACAAATTTTGTTCTTATCGAAAATGAACTTTTAATTTTTTCACTGATATGAAAACCAACCATTAAAAGTATTAAAGTAAATTCCAATTCCATCACATTTCTTTATTCATATTTAATCATTATTCCTCATCACTTTTCATCTCAATTTCCCTGCCACAGTTTTCCCGCACCTTCCTTCCCCATAATTGCTCGACGATGCAAAATTTTTCAATTGCTTAACAAATACAATCAAAATTTTTCACTCTAGCCTAAGCGCGCTCTCAAACACTCGCCGGGGCACTGGCACTCCGCTAATGCATGCAAAATGCCAAAAGCCATAAAAAACATATTTTCCCCTCATCGCATCTTATATAAAAACATTAACATCCCAGTCAGTTGCTGGGAAAACGATTTATGGGAAAAAGACTCCGAAAAAAATAAAGGAAAAAATTAAAATAAAATGATGACTTAATGCACTGCAAGCCAGCGACCAGGGGCAACACAAAAATATTTATATATATACATATTAATACAAAAAAGAAGAGACGACGAAAATCGCTTTTGTTGTAAGAGGCACTCCTTGAGATGATTCGCCAAGAAAGTAACGGTAAATGGAAAGGAACAGGCGCAGCTATAATGCACTTAAAGAAAAGATTTAGGGGAATTTTAGTAAGATTTTATTTTAATAGGGATTTTCTTTAAGGAAAAGGAAAACTTTTTGAACTAAAGAATTTGGATGAGCCTCATAAAATATTTTTTAAAATAAAAATTTGTTTTCATAAAGTAAAAAATTAATTTATAAAAAATAATAATAACTGTGTAGAATTATCGCAAAAATTAAAAACAAAAATCCAAAGTTAAATTTAATTTTTAAATGGCTTAAAAGTAAAGAAAGTAAACTTTAGGCTTGAGTTGGAACGCTTTATCATTGCATACTTTTAGGCGGATACTAAAGAGACTTCAAATCACTGTTTTTTTTTTTTCCTACAAAATTTAAAACTTAAATTCATATTTATATAATTATTTTATCAGTGTATCAGCCCATTCAGCAACCATTCAGCGGCAATTAATGTTAAATTTATAAATACATTATTTTAATGTGTCGTCAGTGTTGGGGTATGCCTCATCCTCATCCTTTTGGCAAGGGAAAGAGAGACAGCAAGACAGTTGTTGCTTGGGCGTTGATGATGGCGTTGGAAAGAGTAAACAAAGACAGGGATAGACGGGCAGAAGGAGACAGCAGCACTGAAGAGACTGTAACGCTCGAGGCTGAAAGCTTGGAAGCTTTGTCCGCCGCCGGCTACGTGCATTGAATTTGTAATTTGCGCACGTTCATTGCAAACATTGAATAATGCTCACAGATATACCCCATAAAAGCCCCTCCCCCCACCTGCCACGCCCCTTTAAACACTTCTAGCAAAGTAAATAACAGAGGAACAGCGGAACCAGGATCCAGGAGCGAAAAGGGAAGCTAACAATTTGTATTGACTCCACAACGCGTTGGCAGCTCATTTGATGGATTTCCCTTTTTTGAGATGAAAGGAGAGGGACAGAAATGGGGCCAGAGCCTATGAATCACCTGGGCACATCACCTGTAAATGTCCAGTTCCGTAGGGATTCCATTTGGCTTTGTGCCGAGAATATTAAGCGAGCCCAATTGGTAGGCATTTTGATTTTTGGTTCTGGTATTCACACAAGGAACAATAGGTGTGAGAATTCAACAGAAAATATATAGAAATATGATGGGAAAAGTAGTAATTTATGAATGGGAATAACGCCCTTTAAACTTGAAATGGAGATAATTTATTTAAGATATTTTAAATATTTTATTTAAATTATTTCAAGGTTGAGTAGTATTACCAACTGAAGGAAAAATAAATACAAACACTACGAAAAAATATTCCGCAAAATTAAAAAAATTTTAGGAAAATTTTTCATTTAATTTTTAAAATTATTTTTAATATATTATTATTATAAGATTATAAAATTAAATTATAGGATATAATTATGAAAAATGTATTAACAAGAATTAATTTTTTCAGTAGAAAATTTATCTTCAAATGAAAATAAAATCTTCGATTCCTTCTTTTATCTTAAAAAATTAATCAAAAATACAGATGTTATTATTATTAATGCTTACAATTTGTTAGCCAATTAATAACACTACTTAATTTATCTTAACAAATCGTATCTCGTATCTTCTCACTTTAAAATTTTATTGCTTTATTTTTAAACTGAAAAAAAATTAGGAAAAAAAGAAAACGTACCCAAAGGCAACAATTTGCTTTACTTGTCTAGAATTTATTACCATTTTGTAGACACGCTCAACAATTATTTTTCATTTATAAGAACGTAAAAAAAAGGCGAACGAGCGAAGGAAATATGCAAATTAACAGAAAACAGAATGAGACGCAGGCGAAGCAGAGCAAAGGAAAATTAACAATTTGTTGCGCTTTTGCGAAATTATATGCCTGGCAGTCGTAAGTCCGCCGCGAAGAGAGTTCTCTGACTGCCTTTCTCGTTTCTCCATTTGTCAAGTTATTAAAGAGCCAAGGCGAGGCGAAGAGGCGGGGCTAGAACTAAATTAACATAATTTATCCGAGGCTGGTTTTCATTTTGTAACCAATAAAAAACGAGAGAGATAAAGAAATAGGTCTTTAAGTAGGGTAAAGCTGTGATATTATTTTAATTTTGATGTAAAAATATATGGTTTTATTATTAAATTGGTAAAGAAATTATAAATAAATATATACCAATCACAAAACTCTTAATAATAACAATAATGATAAACATATAAAATATTCAACAACATTTTTCACCAATGAAATGTGTCCTTAACTATTTTCTTGCATACTTTTAGGCGCGCTTAAAATTGATTTTAAACTACGGCCCTCTGTCTAGGGTTTACCCTTCTATTTCACTTTCCGAACTCTCACTGTACTCACATTTTAAGGGATTTGGCCAAATAGAAGAGCTTGCCAATCGAGAGCCACTTATCGAATGGCATAAAAATACTGGCATATGAATGATTTATGAAACAGAGTGGTTTTCAAAAGTAAAATAGGGGAAAATGCATCGGCAAAATGCATTCAGTGAGCGAACAGGAAAGTTCGCTGGCAATTTTATGCAAGTGGAAAGCGTTCAAGGATCACCACCAAGCCCAACTTGGCCCGCACTTTGACCTCTGTCCCACTCCCTTTTCGCTCTTCTCTGGAGTAGTGCTCGCTGCATAATCAAATAATGCGC